TTGAGTAGACTACATTTTATTTAGCATATTTCAGAAAGTGAAATCAAGGTTCTATTTTATTCTATCTATTCAATTTTTCCTTACAAAATCGTGTATAGCGGATAACCATTGCACCATTGATTGTTTGTTTTACTAATGCAAAACTTGTAGGAATTTCCTTTAAAAAAAAAAAAATCCTTTCGAATGATGAGACATGCGACTAAATCACGAAGGGTTAGAGGTATTTCTTAACCGGGGACAAAGTAAAACATAAAATGCATAAAATACAATTTCGTTCACTGGAATCAAAGGTCTGTGAAGTATCGACATTTTAAAAATCTAAACCAACGGATGTCAATAAAGATTTATTTTAAGTTTGGCTTTTGGACAAATTATGTTTGTCTTCTTGAAAACCATGAGATGTAAAATGTAGGCTAGCCTATATATTTAGGCGAATGGCCATTATTGTTGAACACTTGCAGGCTATAGGTTATAGGTTTGTTGGTGTAATTTGTTAACACTTTTTTGATGTTTCTGTAGACTATTGTGAAATATAACCTACTGCTTTCTAATAACTTTATTTTATGTTAATGCTAGTTGGAAATTCTGTTTTTGCTGTCAAGTTGTTTTGTTGTTTATTGTTAATGACGAATCGTTTTGGCCATACAAAAACGCAAGTGGTTATATAGTGAAACATTTGTGCCATAGTAATAACGTCATCAGGAAAGAAATTGGTAAAAAAGAAAAGGTTAGCCTAATTCCATGATGACTCGATCTGAGTGAACTTGATGATGGTTAGTGAGTGAGTGACTGGATGTTCTGCAGCATATATACCGACGTCTTGATTAGAATTTGCGTTGAACATAATGTATTTCCCTTTATATGTTAACTGGAAAAAGTTCCACGGCCTCATCCTTGGGACAATAATGTTTAGGAAGGGCCCATGTCATCAGAAAGAGCTACAGTGTATTACAGGGGCTGGTGCAAATTAGCCTAATCCGTCCACTCATTGAGGACTGGTAGCATTTGAAAATGCAACAGATGTGCAAATGGCTAACGGCTGAAGTTTCATTGAAATTAACTGTAGGCCTATATATTTACTGGGATTCCATTGTGCCAATAAATGTAACATGTAGCTTACAGTTTTAGCAGCCCGTTAACAAAACGTTTAAGACTTCTACTTTGTGACGCTTTGAGTCAGAGCGAATGTATAACGGAGCTGTCAGTCAAAGGCGCGATTCAAGAGCCACCCTGTTGACTCTTATTTGCCAATTTCCTTTTTATTTTATCCTTTATTGCCACATCACGTTACGGTCCGGAGAACATGGACAAGTTACGTGCCAGGCCGCCCTGTGGTTCACTAGCTCTACTGCATAAACATATTTGTATTTCTCTGGCTATACTTTTTATACCACAGTTTAGTTTCACATCACACCATAACAACTGGATAAGGCACATTTTTCTCACTTTAGGGATTGGAAATAATAGACGGGTTGGGAATAGGCCCGCATCTTTGCAACGTATTCTGCATTGCACCAATTGCTATTAGAAAATGGTAATATGATGATAACATTAGTTCATAGCTTTCCAAATGGTTTAGATTTTCCTTTAATGGTTGTACAATTATTTTGTAGGCCTATTGTTACGTCACATATGATGAAAACATTGTTATTTGCTGCGCAATGACAATGCCAGTCGAAACTAAGAATTTCCATGCTCTTGGTAATGACTTTACAGATGGGTCTCCCTAGCCAGTAGAATGTCTGGGCATTGTTGTGGCGCATGGCGGTGATCTGTTCATCGATATGGATGTCTGGTCTGGCCAGACCACGAAAGGTTGGACACTGGCTCAAAACAGACTGCATCCGTGACAGCTCCGGATTTGTTTTGATTGCAGGCCCATCTCCGGAAAACCCGGGTTTAAGACAGAATCTCGCTTACATTGTCATTTATTTTACTAGTTCATGTAAATATTTAATGCAATGTATTACCATTTCAAACGTTTGATTTTGGAACATCTTTGTTGGTTAAACTCATGTTTATGTGAGCAAAAAGAGAAAGTCCAAATGTTGTAGCCTGATGATTCACACCTGATTCACAAAGCCGTTATATTTGTGTCATAGCTTCTTTGTTATAGGTCAGTTAGGGCTTTCACAAATCATGGTTAGCTACATTTAAAAAAAAGAATTTAAAAAAGTTGGATATTTGATTACGCTAAGTCGTGTCATTTCACGATATATATTGAGTAGCTTTCTCAAAATGTTTTATGACTAATTAGGCTATAAAGATCAAGTTAAGCACCGGATGTGGGAATGATGTCTAATAGGCCTATCTCAAAAGCTGAAATATTAATGTGTAGATCACAGATTCTCCTTCCCGGAATATGAAATTGATCAAACATAGGCTATAGATTAGACATATAAGCCACACATATAATTGTTGGTTAATGGGATTGTATGAATGTTTAAAAAATAAAACACACATATTATTTCAAAATTGCAAGAATAGCCTTTCACAAAAAAGAGGTACAACGTCAACAATCTGTATGTCCGACGAATTAGGACTGGGGATGTTGTTTTAGTTTAATCAAGTTTATCTAGGAAGATATCAGTCGTCTATTTCTTAAGGATATACATCATGTAGAATCTAGGCTATCCTAACAGCCTAACAGATGTATTGATGTGTTTTAATGACATGTATTTTGAGTCCCGTTACCGCATGTTAACATCTGAGCGCATGGGCAATCTCTGTCATAATATTATCTTGCCGATATAGCCTACAGGTTAAACAATATTGAGTACATTTGTATTGGAAATAATGTAGAATAATAATGTTAATCAATTAGGTTCATGTTTTTCAAAAATTTTCGTCTTCAGATAGACATTATTTGAGGCTTTATGTTCTGTCTCTCGTTTTAGCTATACCTGACGTCTGATACATTAGTTGTAGTATTTATTAGGATCCCCAATTAGGGGATCTACTCTTCCCGCCGTCCAAGATGACTACGACAGTTTATTAAGTCCCATCCAGAATGTTCAAATAATAGGCCTACAAAGAAAGAACTGGTTTGACGTGCTAATTCATGTCCACGTTTGTTATTACCGTGTAATGGATCATTTGGACCCTGCACGCGATCTAGCTTTAATATCGAATGCTTAATGGTGGTCTTTAAACTGTGCTTTTTACGTTTTTATTAACATTATTATGACGTAATAATAGATAAGAATGCCTATGGAAAAATGCTTCCTGAATTCCGTGATTGCATCACAATAATAGTATTATGACGCGAAAATAGGCAAGAATGCCTATGTAAAATGCTTGAATTCTATGTGAATGAATCTTTTAGCACTTTTTTGGGGTTCCATTTATAGCCAGAAACAAACTTTGCCATTTGACGGCTTGCATTATTTCATTTAGGCCTATTATTTGTGTTACAGCGCTGAAGTTCACTAACTACAACCAATTTACCATATTTTTCATGGCATTATACTGTACCCGAGAAAATAGGCTATAGGTAAGTCTAGGCTGGTGTTGTCTAGATTATTCTTGCTTTTTCTCCTGAAACAATATATTTGGAAGGAGAGCCGTATGGAGAGCCGTAAACACCACCAAGCAGACAAAACACAAGGACACGTCTATACTACTTCACATCATTTTCACACGTCTTCACTAAAAGTCTCCAAAACACGAGACTGGCTTGCAAATACAACATTCCGATTAGCCTACTTTTCCAATGTGAGAGACAGAAGTGTGCAAAACACATGATGCATAAAATGTTTCCTTAGACACAACGAGAATAAAACGTTTGAGAAACCAAAATGATAGTAAACGTTAATGCCCTCCAAAGCTTTCATTCGGCCAGGAATTCTCACTCCTCTTCCGCCCTTTTCAAGAACTCAGACGGGTCCTTCAAAGACTGAATAACCCAACAGACTCGTCGGCTAGACAGCAACTTTCAACTTGACCTTGGCCTCTAGCCGCGTCTACCCCATAGGCTATGTAAAAAACAACCGCGTTGCCAGTCTTGAGAACTGTTTTCTGTCTTTGCATATTGTAAACATGTCGGAAGCGAGGGGTATGGTATTTGCTGTGCACACTGTCTATCCGAATTCTCACTCATTTCTTGAATGCTCGAAGCTGTCGCTCTCATTTGAGTGATATGAAAACGAGGCATTTTGATTGAGAGAATCTCCCATGGATTTGAGCGTATTTATCTTTAATTGCAAAAGGAGATGGACGTATTCCAAGTCTATATATGTTTTTTTGTTCTAAAGCCTTGTTTATTTTCATTCTTATCTGATGACTCCCTATCCGATACGTGTCTCTTGGATGAGTCATCCGTGTTCCCCACAGTGTTTCGGTCTGTTCAAACACTGTTAACATTAGCTAGTAGTCCATCTCCATCGTCGTTTATGGGATTTTGGGAAACGTGTCCTTGGCGACCATTCCTTACGCTATCTACTAATTATGTGAGCTGTATTGGGGTGTGTGGCCTTGAATGGATTATACTTTGTGGAATTAATATAGGCCCACCATGTACAAAATAATCAGCAATGACATTGTATCATCGACATGTTTACACGGACAGCCTTTATGTGCGTAAAAGCAATGTGTATGGATGGATTTAAGTAGGTGAGTCACCGCAGTCTTTTGAAACAGTCTGGACTACTAGGTCCTTTTTATTTTGCTGTCCAATGATAAAAGAGAAACCTTTCTCAAACCAATTTAGGTTTGAAGTGTAAACCTATATAGGAGTGATAGGATTTTTTTTGTGTGGATTTACTCACGAAACCCGTCTCGTTTTGTCTCGGCAAAAAGACAAGCCAAATCCCTTGATAGGTACGGTCATCTTACAAAGCCGCATTTTTCTACATTTAATTATCTGCACTGGGAGATATTTATCGTCCTCTTTGCATAGCCTATCACGTGCCCCCTTCTTGGCCAATAGAGGCGCGACCTTGGTGCACCCGGGCGCGTCAGAGTCGCTTACTCTCTCAGAATCAGTATCTCCTTTTTTCAGCCTCTATGCTTTTTAAAAAAGAGCCAGAAGCCTCAATGCTGGATGTCGTGCTATGACAACGTCACTACTCTTCCGTCCTCGCTGGGTCGACCCGTCGGTGATGTTCCTCTACGACAACGGCGGCGGTTCCGATGAAGTGAGCAAGAACATGGACGCTAGCGGTGGTGGTTTTGCAGGAGGCAACTTTGCGGCGAACCAATGCAGGAACCTGATGGCGCACCCCGCGTCCCTCGCTCCGAGCACGGCATACTCGTCAAGCGAGGTCCCTACCTCGGGTATGGGCGAACCATCCAAGCAGTGCAGCCCTTGCTCGGCTGTGCAAAGCTCCTCCAGCGCGTCCCTGCCCTATGGATACTTCGGTAGCGGCTACTATCCGTGCAGAATGTCGCACAACAGCAGCATAAAGTCGTGCAGCACGCAGCCCACCTCTGCGTACGGGGAGAAGTACATGGACACGTCCGCCTCGGGCGATGACTTCACCTCCCGGGCCAAGGAGTTCGCCTTCTATCCGAGCTATGCGTCGGTCCCATACCAGCCGGTACCCAGTTACCTGGACGTGCCCGTTGTATCAACTATGAGCGGGCCAGCAGAACACAGGCACGAGCCCCTGCTGCCAATGGAGAGCTACCAGCCGTGGGCTCTAACTAACGGCTGGAACGGGCAGGTCTACTGCACCAAGGAGCAGCCTCAGCCCGGACACATGTGGAAATCCTCCATACCAGGTACAACATAGGTAGAGAGCCCTCAGGTTTTACGCAATAAACCAGAACGACTTTTCATTGTGTTTTTATGTAGCCTAATGCCTAATGCTTAATCCACAACAAAATGTTAGAAACGATGCCTTTTCTGTAAAAAATTATAACGCTTGTTTGTAAATTCGTTTGAGAGTATACACTCGTAGAAAAAAGGGTTCCAAAAGGGTTCTTCAGCTGTCCCCATAGGAGAACCCTTTTTGGTTCCAGGTATAACCCCTTTGGGTTCCATGTATAACCCTCTGTGGAAAGGGTTCTACATGGAACCCAAAGGGGTTCTATCTGGAACCAAAAATGGTTATTCGAAGGGTTCTACCTATGCCGATGTTTTAGATATAAAAATGTTTTTGTGTTTGGCTTGTGAACGGCTTACTATATCTATTTTGTATTCTGTTTTGCTCCACCAGACGCGGTGTCTCCTGTAGGAGGGGACCTGAGCTCCTTCCGACGTGGAAGAAAGAAGCGCGTGCCATACACCAAGGTGCAACTGAAGGAACTTGAGCGCGAGTACGCGGCCAATAAATTCATAACGAAGGACAAAAGAAGGAGGATATCGGCCCAGACGAACCTGTCTGAGAGACAGGTCACTATCTGGTTTCAGAACAGACGCGTAAAGGAGAAGAAGGTCGTCGTCAAAGTGAAGAGCATCAGCTAGTTCTGACTGATATACAACAATGGGATAGGAATTAAACACACACACACAGTATGCTATTCACGCTTTTTGATTGGAACAGTAGAATCCTTATTTACCACCGAACATGATTCACAAATGTACTCTGCCAAATGCGTTCCGGGACCTTTATGGAACGAAAATGTAGAAAAACTCTGGACCTTCCATTTTCCTCCATGGTGTAAAATATTGTTCTCGGCGAATGGAGCCCAAAGCAAGGAGAAAGCTAGGGCTGTATAATTTTTGCAACTGGCATGCAGTAACCTCAGGAAAACAGACACTAACTTCACGGTGTGGAGAAAAAAACCCATTTGGAAATCCCCAGGAAGTGATGGCATTTAGGATTATAGCTTCCACGGTTAAATATTAATCCGTTCCATTTCCCCTTCAACACTCCACTCAGCACGTGCATCTTAATTTAAAGTTTAGCTTCTTCAAACGGTTCTCATGCTCTCTCTCATAACGAATCCAAGGTGCATTCCCGCTTGTAATGCATACATAGTCGTCTGGGAAGTGTGTGCCCATGTGTACCATATATATTTTATATTGTGTGTGTATTCATGTGGTTGTATATAAAGGTAAACTATACAGACAAAACTATAATATGTCAAGGCTATCTGTGTCTGTTAAATATGTCGGTGTAAAAGTATTGACACAAAAATCCGTCCCAATAAAATCTGGACATTGTTGAATCATATATATCCACGAACTCTGCTTTGAACATCCGTCCAGTATATTACAGAGATGGTTTAGTTTTTGGTGTGACATTTGAATGTCAATTGTGACATTTTGTCATAGCTATTCAAATGTGAAAGGATTAGTCATAAATTGGTTAAAGTTATTATTAGATTCAGAAGCAGTGTGAGAGGCTCGATTATCAGTGTGTAGGCCTGTTTACCGTGTGTGAGGAACATGTCTGACCGGCATATAATTTTCTGCTTGACTGCGGAAGATCCTCGTTTGGCCAGACTGTGTACAGCTACTATGGGCTCTATCCATTTCGACGTTAATTCCAGGTGTCGCCTGGGTGCGATGGTATTACGAAGTGTCTGAATCTATCTATTGAGAGCGTCGAAAATGTCTCACTCAAGCAAATAATGGAAGCGTTATTGTGTATGTGGATTATTATAAAGCCAACATCGCCATCTAGTGATGAGATTGTCTCAAGCACCACAGTTGACTGTTAGTGGAGACGCACTGGCATCTGAATAGGCCTACACTACTAGGCTACTTCAAGTAGGCCTACTACCACAATCTAATAATAATAATAATAATGATAATAATAAATAGGCCTATAGGCTACATTTACATGATAACATTGTGGAAATATTTAGGAACAATATTTACACAAACTTTAGCCTATTTGAAACGATAGGCCTACTTGCTCCAACATTTCTCTTTGTTTGGCCTATAGTGTTTCCTGTAGACATCAATTGTGTGTATGTTCAGTTATTTTCGATTATTCATATTAATTTACATGCTCTTATTATTTAACATTTTTCCAAAGGCATGCTTGCCTATTATCGCGTCATAGTACTATCATTGTGACGCAATTATATAGAATTCAGGTATCATGTTTTCCATAGGCATTCTTACTTATCATCACGTCATAATACGATTAATAAAAACTTCAATCGGATGCACGTTGCCTCAGCCACAGCTAAAATACCAACATTGAGTAGGTCACAGATTTCAACAATTTAAAAATTGCTTCCATATAAACGCTTCATCGTCACAGAGGTATCAAATTTGGGTTTTTGAAAATGAGTAGGCCAATGTGCTGCAGATTACACCAATGCGGCGTTTATCGTTGTTTTTGATTTCCTTGAGGACTTGCACTTAACTTTGGTTTTGACATTAATTTTCAATCATTTCTTCAATAATTTCGTCATCCCAAGGACACAGCATGTATGAAAATGTTTAGCATTTTGGCATTTCTTAATCCCCAATTATATTACTGATAATATTTTGTTATAACAGGTGAGCGTCTCGCTTTCATGTCTGCTGATAATAACAATATCACACCAGATCACAAAATGAAAAGCGCTTTCAAATGCGAGATATTATTTGTGCACATCTGCATTGCGAATTCGTTCAGCTCTAAACTGGTTTAGATTTAAAACATGCATGGGAATACATACTATATTAGGCCGTGTTATACAGAACTACAGTATCAGTAAGGTAACTTGATGCAGAAGGCCATGAATGCAATACCATTTTAGCTCTGACTTTTTCATTTTCATGGAAACAAACTAACATATAGATACCTGTTACAGTGTAGGCTAATTACATGCACATCTGTAATATGTAGGTCTATAGCCCTTGAATGTGACATCGAGAGAAAAAATAGGCCTCAGCATTTTGATTCGCTGATGCTGCAGTATACCACCCCACCAGCGGTAGCAGTACAACTATTAGCCTATATGATTGTGACTAATAAGGGGTTTAAATTGATCATTTCTAAAAGATCAATTTCTTAAATACTATTCTGACTTGCACCATACTCTGGTGACTGATGAAGATCATAATTTCTAGCGTGTTGCTTGATGATAGGCCTACCACTTATGGTTATATTACTGTACTAGTGACATCATATCCGTTTGGTCTCTGTGCACTAGGCTTAGGCCTGTATCAAAAATATTTACTATTGCACAGCCCACTGGGCAAAAACTGGTTGAATCAACGTTGTTTCCACGTCATTTAAACCAAAACAGTAAATGTGATGATGTTGAATCAACATGGAAAAATGATAGGATTTGAAAAAAGTCATCAACATAAGGGAATTTCGTATTTTTGTCACCCAACTTTTAACCTAAATCCAATGACATGGTGAAATGTTTGGGTGATTTCACGTTGAATTCACGGTAGTTGACAACTTATTCCAAATGTAAATCAAAACTAGATGTCGAACTGACGTCTGTGCCCAGTGGGAGACCACTGCAAATATAAAAAACAAAGCAGACATGAAACTAGCAAAGCAAACAAACACATGGTGATTATAGAACGGAAAGGGTTTGCACTTACAGAACCCGTAGCAATGACTTGTGCTTTTATTGTTGTAGGATGCCAAAAGCTGCTTGTCGTTATCTTCGTAAATGCAGTATATTAACATTTACTACAAGCATTTCATGATCAAATAGAAAAAATAATTCCTAAAATGAATCCTGCAGTCACTGAATTTTGGCAAAAAATATAAACGCCTAGAAAAAAAGTTAATAAAAAATGGTTTTAAGAGCTGTGCTAAGATGTATCCCACGAATCAGTCTGTAGGCTTTCGCCAAGGTTGGCTACATATTTAAATTTCATTGAGGTAGGTTATGTTTGTTTTCTGAATAAATATGCTGAGTGTAGACTATGTTGCATTGCACATGCAATGCGTTTAATGCATGAAGCAGCAAAGTAAACCATATAGCCTCTACAGGGAAACATACCAAAATATTCGATGTTTTCGCCCTTTAAGAGTTTGTACTATCCATATTTTGTAAAGATATTGATTCTGTTGCTGCGGGAGAGTAGGCGTTAACAGAAAATACATATGCTTAAATTTTTTTAAAGAAAAGCCTTCTCCGTGGCATAGGGCATAGTAGGATATAGTGCATTGGGAAATAAAGAGAACGTAGCCTACTCGACACATTATGCTTGTAAGCTACCTGTACCCTTGTCTTTTGCTATTCTGAATCAGTGGACTCACACCTGTGGTGCATGGTATTTGTCTAGCCACCACTAATTTGGACTCATACATACATTTGGAGCAGAAACGGTCGTGTCCTTATATTGTTGCTGGTTCAAAAAGTTGCTTCTATGATGCCAACTATTAAACATCGTTGTAGAGTTTATTTTCATAGTCTATAGGCCTAGTCAAGGCAATACTAATGGGTTATCACATCAAAATGGTCTAATTTATGAACATATCTAACCGAAATTAGACTATAAGCTTAATGCCGCAAGTGCTCGAAATAAATGGTTTATACATTTATTTACTTTTGTATTAGGCTAATAGTAATACATTAATAAAATATGTTTCATGGTTGATAGTAAATTATAATTTTCAGTTTATAAAATAAATAAAAATTGCTAACAAACTATATAATAATAACTGTTTAAACAGTGATGAGCAAAACTTCAAATAATGTGTTGTCCAAAATTCATAAAGAATTATAATGTAAAAATTTGCTAAATGTATAAAGACGCATGACTTTTAACTTCTTAGTTTGTCAATTATGATTTATTAGACATTACACTATTCCTCTTTCTGACTAATTGAAGTCAGGGTCAAGTATGCCTCAACTGAGAGCACTGTCTGCGTAAGCTTTCTGCGTCCCGTACACGGTTCAGACGCAAACACACGTGAACGTGTACGCAACCCAGGGAGAGAAATATTCAAACTGTGGCAGGTGGATCCTGCAGAGCAGGCTGGACTGGATTCCAAATTTGACACCATCCCGGTGCTCAATGCAGCATTATTGGAGTTTTGCTACCACCCAAAGGCAAAACCAGGCATGACACCTCCTGCAAATAATCAAGGGAGCAATTCAATTTGGAATTCCCTGTTGCGTAGAATGAATTAAATAGGTTGAGAGAGCTCCACGTTACTCACTGTCTTGCTTAATTCACGCTTAATGGCAAATAGGTAAAGTGAAGTAAGAAGTACATGGTCGTCTGTAAATCTTTTTTTTGCTGCGCTTTCAAATCAACCTGACGGGCTTTATCATTTCACTATACCATTTCCATTTCGCATCTGCACTGAAAATGGCTGCTTTTAATGAAACCACAAAAGGTCATATCCTCTTGTTTTTTGCCTTCTTCCATGGAGTACGAATTTTGTATGCGTTTTAACGGCTATTGGTGTCGATTCACACAAAACAAAAACACAAAAATACATTTTTTTTAAGCTTTCAAACATAAACAAAGAAATACAAACCCATATGGATAGGCTATATGTAGGCCTATTGTATTAACCTAATAGTTGTCTGGCGGAGGAGCAGCCTATACTCTCACACTGCGCCCCGCTCTTATTTTACATTTACATTTTA